CTCGTGGCATTACGTCCAGGTGTGCGCTGTTGGTGAAGTCCTGCTTCAGAGGCTTGGTGTGAAACAAAGCCATGGGAAGCAGAGCAGGATGGGGTGAGGTCCTGCTGATCCCATCAGGTATCCCCACTTCCATGTGTGTATCCATGGAGCAGGAGCACACTGACATCGTGGAGTGGCAGTGTCACAGGGTGGGCTCCTGGCTCGAGCAAGGGCTCTCCCTGCCCCAGGCATGGCACAGGCTCATCCTTGGGCATCAGAGGGTCCCAGAGGCACACGTTCACTGTTCCTTGGGTGTCCCCGCCAGGCCATGGGCACTGAGCTCTTGCTGAAGCCTGTATACCTGCGCAGAGCGTGTGGGGTTTGTAAATGAGCGCTGCAGAGCGCTGGGATTTGCTGGGCTTAGATGTGTGTCCGACACAAGCGGTAATGCTGTCACTACAGCCACTCCTACGTGTGCATCCACTTTGCAGTCACGTGAGCCTGGCCGCGGGGCACGGCTGGGCAGCCAGCACTGGCTGTCGGCAGCAAAGCGCGGAGCTTTTTGATGCTGTTGGGTTTTCATCTCTGAAGCGGGTTGCTGGCACATGGCGTCTTCCCGCCGTCCCTTGGCTCCCTGCTCAGGGCCAGCTGTAGAAATGTGGTTTGTCACCTGCCTTGTGCTAGAGGAAAGGTTGGCCGGTGGATTCGCTCAACCAGATGTCCTAGAGAGGGGTGCTTTAGGAGGGCTCCCTGCTTGGCTGTGTGCAAGGCAGGAGTGAGGAGAGCACTGCCCACAGCGTGCATCTCAGGGAGCCTTATTTTCCAGTGATGACCAGCGGCAGAGACAAAGCCCTGGGCTTCCCTTGGCTACCCCAAGAAGCAGTGTGCAGGTTCTAGCTTGATCACAGAGAGCAGAGGGCCTGGCTTTGCTGTATGTCATGAGCTGCCTGCTCTGGGCTCAGCCTGCCTCGAGGTGACCGCAGGCTCCAGCACCTTGTGCTGTGTCTCCAGGAAGGGGCTTGGCTCCGGTCCTTCCTCTCCTGGCCAGGCAGGCGCAGAGCCTGCTTCCCTCCAGCAGCTTGCCTTTTCCCTGCTGTGCCGGTGCGGCTCCCCGGCTGCGTTTGCTTTTTGATCCAAGTGCCTTAGTTGCTTTTCTCTGTGTGCCTGCGCTTTGGGCGAGTGGTGAACAATAAAAATCTGCCGGCGAGAGCTGTAGCAGAGGTCAGCCAGCTCCTGTGCCCCAGGCTGCTCTGTTGTCACTGCACAGTCGTGCTTTGTGCACAGGGGCTGTCAGCTTGGAAATCATGGTGGTTTTTTTTTTCCCTTTTAAAACTATCCCCAGGCACTGGCGCAGGGTTTTCTGCGAGTGATGTACTGGGGAGGTATGGCAGCAAACTTCCTTTGTGCTTAAGGCAGTGGTCAGTGCCGGTTTCAGGGCATCTTGAAAGCAGACCCCTGGCTAATTATAAATCAAGGACAAAAGAGGGCAAATAGTGGCTGCAAATTGTGAATTTGTCTGAGCTCCTTTCTGAAAATGATTGTTGCAGGTTGTCAGTGTCCCTGCAGGCTTCCTAAAATGCAAACAAAGCACCCAAGCCAACTTCCTGACCGTCACCCACGCTTTCAAGAGGCGCTTCGTTTTGCTGAATTGCTTGCTGCCATCCATTGGCTCCTGGCTCTGCCTGTGTCCTTTTTGCCAGGTGCTGCTGGCAGCAGCAGAAGGGCAGTGTGAGCGATCCGGCCTGTGCCCAGCAGGTGAAGCAGTGGGGAGGTGTCTGGAGGCGCTGCCCCTTGGCGCAGTGTACGCAGTGTGCAGGCTGGGCTGGGTGGGATGCTTGCAGAGGGTGGTGGGTGAGGGATGCAGGCTGTACCCCTGCTCCCTTGGGTAGCTGTGGCCTGGAGGAGGTGGGGTCTCTGCTTTAAGGCAGAGCTGTATGGAGTGCAAACGTGAAGGGCAAAGCAGTGAGGAGGCCTGAAGCTGGCTCTTGTCCCCCCACCCATGTACAGCTGAGTTGTGGGACTGCCTGTGGCAGGATGAAAGGAGATGGAGGTGAGCACGGTTCATGGTGCTTGTGGCCATGGGAGGGGGCCACCACAGGCTGCTGAACGCCTTCTGACAGCTGTTCACCCCACAGGTTGAGTCAGGGTGCTTCCCCTCGCTGGATGCTGCTGAGCTACAGAGGTACCTGAGCTGCTGCACCACAGCCTTCTGGTCACGCTGCTTAGGTCGTGCAGCTGTTTCTAGGGCAAATGAAGAAAGGTGGAGATATGTCTGCAGATTCCTGTCCTGAGGAAATGAAGGCTTGCGCAAGCTTACTGTTTATTTGTGAGTCTTCTCTCTGCTTTGAACTTGCTGGCTGGTTTCAGTTAAGATCAGCAGCGCAGCAGCTATCTCAAAGGTCTGGAGAGGAAGAGACTGCTAGTTCTCCCTCTGCACTGCAGCTCAGCCTTGCTATTAGACATCAGAGAATCCACGTGGGAGAGAGATCGACAGGAAACTGGGTGTTATCAGTTCCGCTGCCTGTGCAGCTCCTCGCTCCTCATGTCAGCGTCTCCACGCGTGTGGCTGGAGGCGTTTGATGGGAGTGCTGGCAGCCCGGGGGTGTGAGTGGGTGGTGTGCGATCGCTGCGAAGGCGTCCTTGCCTCCCCTGCCAGCAAACTCAGCTCCACCAAGGTGTGCAAAGCGGGGAGGGAGCTCCTCTCCTCAGCGGGAAAGCACCTCACCGTGCAGCACCTGCTCATGTTGGGGCGTCCCACGTCACCTGGTCTCTGTTGGGTTTTGGGTAGGGTGGGGGTTCTCCTGCTGTCTCCCCATGAAGGCTGGGAACTCCTTAGTGCTTGGTACCGGTTTCTTCTTGCTTGTTTTGCAGATGGTGGGGAGGGGAAGATCTCTCCTGGACTTGGTGGAGAGGCTGGGGAGAGTATGTCTGGAAGCTGATGGCATGCTGAGTGTTCAAGAGAGGCTGGGGGAGAGCCTGCCTCCACTGGGAGTCTTCCCCACATCGCTTCAATCGCCCCAGCTAATCCTGTGACAGACCTGACCTATATATGGGGCCGGGGAGGTGGCACGTCTGTAGCAGCAGATGGTGTCGCAAAGAGCCTGGGCTCAAGCAGGCTCCTGTTGTGCTGACCTCTGGCTCTTGTGAGGAAGAGGGTGGGCTGTGGTGATTCCAAATTCATCCTGTGCAGTTCTTTGTGACAAGAGCTGGGCATATGCAGCCTTCACAGGTAGAGAGCTTCTCTGGAGGTTTCACTCTGCTCAGTGGCTGGAGCCACTGGTGTCCCTGGTGAAGGGCAGATGAATGGACTCAGGAGCCCTTGTCCTGGCCCAGAAGCACTGGCTAATGCCTGTCACTTGGGCTCCTTGTTGTGCTCCTCCAGGCTTAAGCCCACATCAGGATGCAATCACACTGGTGGTCAGCAGTGGCCTTTTACATGGTGGCACATACCCGGAGCAGCATGATGTAGTGGTGTTTGTGTATACTGCTGTGTCCCCAAGGCAGAACAGGGCAAGTGTGAGCTGAGCCACCTGTGCGTGCCCTGTCCTCACAGGGGCTGCCGGGCAGGCGCACAGTGTGCCACAGGAACCACCTGGCCTGGCCAGGCACAGGGCATGAGCATTGCTCGCCAGAGAGCCATGTTCCATCACCTGCTTCTCCCACCGTTGTCCTGAGGACATCGATAGCTGCTGGCCGCCGGGGATCTGGGGCAGCTGGAACGTGCTGGCAGGGAGCGTGTGTACAGATATCTGTCATGTGGGCCTCTGTGTGCTGTTTAAGCTGTTCTTAGGGTCAGGCTGTGTCCTGGCCACCGTGTAAAGGTGCACTGCTATCTCTGCCAGGAAATAATAGTGAGCTCAAAGTGCACGGTGCCATCTCCCTCTTTGTCCCTGGCTCCTGAAGCCAATAGTGGACATTGAGGGTGATCATCAGCCCTTCGGCTGTCCCCTCCTGGGGTGTCTGTCTGAACAGAGTCTGACCTCTGTCACAGCTGTGCTCTCTGGCCCCCGCCAAGGCATGGGAGCAGCTGTTGGGGCAGAAGGAGTTTGCTCTACGCCCTGGGGAAGCCTTGAGGCCACTGTATGTGCTGGTGTGTGCCAGGATTTGGGTGAGGAGGTGAGAGTAGGCAAAACGGCCTTGAGATGGGCCCGGAGGGATCCGGGGGCAGGACAGAACCGAGCACTGCCGCTCGGTGTGATGATGAGCTTACCGGATTGTTAAACCGTCGCCATGGCTCTGAGGTTTTCTTTAAAAGGGGTGACGTTACAAATTAATTATCTCCCTTTTGGTTGTTAGCACTTTAAAGCCCAGCTGTCAGGGGAGGGCTGTTTTACAGGCATGACATCAGGGCTGTCAGCTGGCTGGCTCTCATACCTGGGAGTTTCTCGGCGTGCCGTAAAGCAGCAGCCCGGCACGGACGCAGCGCCTGCTGTCAGCTCGGGCCGCGCTGCCCGCGGGCTCCGCCTCGTGCTCGGTGCCGGGGCGCGGCCCATGGGCTGGCCGGCAGCTCGCGGCTGGGCGCTCGGTGTCTCTCAGGGGTTCTCCCACGGGTTCTGTGCTGATTTAACTCGGCACAGAGAGCAGAGGCCGTCTTGAAGCAGTAGGCTTTGCCGGGGTCCCCAGACAAACCGGGCACAGATGCCGTGGGAGCCGCGCGTGCCCGGCAGGCGGTGGGCGCGGGCATCAGGAGAGGCCCTGAGCGGGACGCGGACACGTGTCGGTTCTCGGGGCCGGCGGCGGAGCTTCCGCGCCCACCGCCTCATTTCTCCCTGCGTATCGACGCACCTCGCGGCGGGAGCGCGGGGGCGGCCGATCTGCCGTCCGCACGGCCCGCCCGGAGCGGCGGAGGGGCCGGAGGCCTGGAAGAGGCCTCAGGTAAGAGGGGTGCCGCGGGGAGGGCCGCGCTGCCGGGGCCCCCGCTCCGTGCGGACCGTTGCTATGACAGCGCTCCTCCCGCGCGGCGGAGGGGGGGTGGGGAGGGGGCGCTGCCCCGCGTGGCGGCCCAGCCCCGCGCCTCCAAGATGGCGGCGGAGCGTGACACGCCTGGTCACGTGGGTCGCGCGCGCGCCGCGCCGCCCGCTCGCTCCCCCTCTCCCCTCCCGCCAGGCGCGCGCGCCCCCGGGGCCTCCGAGTGTTGTGCCTCGGCCCGGTGCGTGCCGCCGCGCCTTAAAGGGGCCGCACCCCGTACCCGCATCCCGGCGGCGGCAGCCACGGCCCGCCCGCCCCGAGCCGCGGTTAACAAAGAGGCACCGGAAACGGCGGCGGCGGCAGGGAGGGGGCCGGCCGGCCGGGAGGGAGTGGGGGGGGGGGCAGGCCCGGGCCCGGCGTCGGCGAACAAAGAGCGGCGGGAGGAGGCGGGGGCGCCGCAGCGGCTCCCGGAGCGCGGCCCCGGCCGGCAGTGCAGGTAGGTCCGGAGGGCGGGGGAGCGGCTCCGGGAGCGGGGCGGGGGTGGACGCCGCCCCCCCGAAGACCTCCCCGTCTCCGGCGGGGGCACCTGCCCCGGGGCGGCGCGGCGGGGCCCGGGGCCGCCTTTGTTATTGCTTTTGTTTGGCGCCGAGCACATGGCCCCGGAGCGGCCGCTCTTAAAGCCACAGCTCCGTTGAGCCCCGGCGCGCTCCGGGGGCCGTGCCCGGCTCGGAGGGTCCGTGCTTGGGGGCTGCGGCCCCCGGGGTCGTCGGGGCGCGGCGCGGAGGGCGGCACTTCGGGCGGCGGCGGGGCCGAGCCGTGACCCTGCGCTCGCCCTGGGCCGGAGCCGGTGGGGGGCGTGGGGCCATGCGGGCGGCGGTCCTCGGGCGGCCCCGGCAGATGGCACCGAGCGCCACTAACTTTGTTCCCATGCCCGGTGGCCGCCGAGCCTCGGCCGCGAGTGTCCGCCCCCACCGCGTCTCGGCCATTGCCGCGGCCTCTGGGCGCCGACCCCGGGGGTCGCGCGGGGCCCGAGCACCGCGGGTGTGCGTGGGGTGAAACGGGAGGCGGTAAGCGGGGACGCGGGGGGGAGCCCGGAGCGGCGCGGTGAGCACAGACCGCGCACAGCTCTGGACCCCGCAGCGGTCGGACCCCAGCGGGAGCGCGGGCTGCTCTGAGGGCTCCTGCTGTGGCGGCTTTGTTTTTGCCCAAAAGAGAGAGATTTGCCCTCGGATTCAGAACCAGCATCCCAGGTTGGGGTGAGGATAGGAGGAGATGCTTGGCACGGTGTCAGGCCGTCCCCTCGGTGTGACATGGCCATTTGTCCTTCTGGCGACGCCCCCAGCCTCCTGCAGTGCTGCTGCCCGGCTCGGCGCGCTCTGTGCTCAGCCTGTGCCTGCATGGCCAGCGCATGGAGCGGCAGGAGGAACGGCTGAAGCAGGCGCTGTGCCGGGAGATGGCTTCCAGCTGGATTTGGGGGGACAGCTTTGAGGCCAGAGCTGCTTGGGTTGGAACTTGTGCCACCTTGTACTGCAGGGACACGGGAGGACGTCGAGCCAGGCAATGAGCAGCCCCAGGTGTGGAGCGGTGGCACTTCGCTGCATGGCAGTGACATGGGGACACCCATGGGTGCAGGGCAGTGGAGCAGTGCCCTACTGGCAGCTTGCAGAGGGTGCAGAGCAGACACACAGGAGCCCTGCAGGAAAGAACACCCCCACAACAGCACTGAACCCTGCTTGGCTGAGGACATGCCGGGAGCACCTGGTCCTATTAGCAGCCTAGGACAGTGCTGCAGTCACCAGCTTGCTTTTCTCTCTGCCAAAAACACATGCTTCTGTCTCTCATAGTGTCTGTGTCTTGCATGGGGGGTTCACACAGCAGAGGGACGGTGCCTGGGTACCCGATGGGGGCCAGGCTCTGCTGTCTCCAGCCCCAGGAGCAGTGGTGGGCCTGGGACTGGGTGCCTGAGCAGCAGGCTGGGCAGTGCTGGGGTCACACTGCAGAGCACATCTTGGGGTAAGGCTGCTGCCCGGAGCCAGCTACACACCTCTACCTCCCCTCTATCCCATATCCCATATCAGGGAGGATTTGGGGCTCCTGTTCATGCTCCAACCCTGTGCTGTCCTGGGGGTTTAAGAGACCATGACCTGCTGTTGTTCTCACAGGATCCAAGGTGCTGGTGTCTTGCCCTGCCTGGAGCCTGAGGTCCTGCGTGCTCATCCGCCTCCCGACGTCACCAATGCGACCATGGGAACTGGCAGTGAATAGGCGGCCTCCCTCTGCCCCTTTTAACCAACGTCGTTTCTCAGGGGGACCCTGCAGCAGCCCTGACCACCTCCGGCGAAGGTATGGGGCAGCACGGAGTCCCAGTGGCCATCGTGGCTGTGTTGGGACACACTGTGGGTTACAGCCTGCTGGGGCAGCCACCAGCACCTGGTGGGTTGGGGGAGCTCAGGGTGGGGAGCATGGCCAGGGGGAACATGTGGGGTCCTGTGCTGAGGACACAGGGTGGCACACACAGGGCGAGTGGAGCTCGACGTTGGCAGCCAAATGAGGAGCCCAGCTCTGAGCACTGCACCGCTGCGCGCTGACCCTGCCTGGGGGTCACTCCTGCTCTGTTTCTCTCCTGCGGTGGCTCCGCAGCCCCCCTGCCAGGCGTCAGTGGGGACGACGCGACCGACCTCTGGCAACCCTGCTGGGCCAGGATGAGACCCAGCTGCACCCTGCCTTCCCCCAGCAGCCGCACATCCCTGTAGATGAGCCCCGCGCCTACGCTCTCCCCAGCACACCGCCACGAATGCTGCACCCGGCCGCTCACCCACCCCACCAGAACCCATTCATGGTGGATCTTCATGACCAGGTAGGTGCTGCAGGAGCAGCTCTGGTGCTGAGAGTGATTCTGCACTCATACCGTGTTGCTCAGAGCCAGCTCTAGGACAAGGACCTGTGATATGTCCTGTGGTCCCCTCTGGTGGTGGTGGGGTGGGAGCCCATGTCACCCTGACCGCTGGTTGCAAAGCGAGGTCCAAAACTCACGTTGAGCCCTGCATTATGCTGGCCGTGTCCCAGTGCTGGGTGCTTTCTGCCCTGCTGCTGCCCCTCCAGGATGGGGACAGCCCAGCTGGGACTGTGTCCTCTGCCCACATCCTCTGTGCCTTGTCCCCAGGTGCACCAGGGACCTGTCCCTCTCTCCTACACGGTCACAACCGTTACGACGCAAGGCTTCCCCATCCATACCAGCCAGCACATCCCTGGGTGCAGCACCCAGCAGCTCCCAGCATGCTCAGTGATGTTCAGTGGACAGCACTACCCGCTCTGCTGCCTCCCACCCCCGGTGAGTCACGGTGGGGACAGAGAAGGGGACACCTGGCGGTGACCATGGGTTGCCTGAAGGCTGCGTTGCTGCCACCCCAGAGCACAGGGGCTGTGGGTGTGGGGACTGTTTGATGCTCTGGGGCAGACAGAAGTGCCCCTGACCCACATTTCTCTCCAAACCCCGCAGTTGATCCAGGCATGCGCCATGCAACAGCTCCCGGTCTCCTACCAGACGTTCCCTCCAATCATCTCCAGCGACCATTACATCCTGCACCCGCCCCCGCCGCCAGTGCCCCCCCACCAACCGCCCCACATGGCTCCCTTGGGGCAGTTTGTGCCTCTCCAAGCCCAGCACCCACGAATGGTGAGTCGGGGTAGGGTTGGGGAGGTGTTGGTGCTGCAGAGCCAGGCACGGGGCTCTGGAACAGGGAGTATGATCTCTGTGCAGCCCCCCAGGTGGGATTGCACGGGGTGCAATGCTGCGCTAAAGCCAGTGGATGAAATCTGAGACACCCTTTCCAGCCTAACAGTTTCCCCTACAGCCTCTGCAGAGGATAGACAATGATGTGGACCTGCGAGGGGAGCAGCACCCCATCGCCGGCTTCACGTACCCCCCGTCCCACCATGCTCCCACGCTCTCCCCCTCCGTGCCGCTGCATTACCTCCCCCACGACCCGCTGCACCAAGAGCTGCCATTCGGCGTGGTAAGTCCCCGTCTCGATGCTGGGGGACGCAGGAGCTGCGGGCACGGCCCTGAGCCCTCATCTCTCCCCACAGCCATACCCCCACATGATGCCCCGGCGGCTGAACACCCAGCGGTACCGGCTGCAGCAGGCGCTGCCCCCCCCGCCGCCCCCTCCACCGCCCCCTCCGTACTACCCGAGCTTCCTGCCCTATTTCCTGTGAGTACTGGGGGGGTGGCGGGGATGTGGGGGGCATGGGGTGTCACGGTGCTTCTGTCCCCACCGAGGCACCCGCGCTGAGGGCCCCATCCTCCCCCCATGCAGCTCTATGCTTCCCGTGTCGCCGACGGCCGTGGGGCCCACGATCAGCCTGGACCTGGACGTGGATGACGTGGAGATGGAGAACTACGAGGTGCGTGGCTCGGCTGCCCTGTGGGCTGACCTTGGCGTTCCGGGGTGCCTCCACCGGGGCTGAGCCGTCCGCATCTCCCGCAGGCGTTACTGAACCTGGCCGAGCGGCTGGGGGAGGCCAAGCCACGGGGACTCACCAAAGCAGACATCGAGCACCTCCCGTCCTACCGCTTCAACCCTGAGAGCCACCAGTCCGAGCAGACCCTGTGAGCGAATGCGGGGCTGGGGGCGGGGCTGTCGGGGGAGGGTCGGGGCTGGGGCCGGGCTGACGGCCGTCCGTCCTCCCCAGGTGCGTTGTGTGCTTCAGCGACTTCGAGGCCCGGCAGCTGCTCCGCGTCCTGCCCTGCAACCACGAGTTCCACGCTAAGTGTGTCGACAAATGGTTAAAGGTGAGCGGATAGGGCTGCGGATGCCGCCAACCCCGGTGGGCTTCGGGACCCCCCCCGTTCACCGCCCCTCTCCCTGTCCCCCCAGGCGAACCGCACGTGCCCCATCTGCCGGGCGGATGCGTCGGAGGTGCAGCGGGAGGCGGACTGAGGCGGGCGGGCGCCGTGCCGCACAATTGGTTACAGGATGAGGACGTCGGGCCAGGGGCGGGGGCCGCTGCCCGCTGCCAGGGCCCGGCCGTGCGCTTACCCCCCTCCCCAGAGCCTCTCCTCGGATGCGGTGAGCGCTGAGCAGCCCGGGCTGCGGCCAGCCCTCCTCCTCCGCCGTGGCTCGGAGCGCTGCGGGGCCGAATGGTGTTTGCTGGTGGCGGCCGCCCGTGTCCTCCGCACTGCAAAGACGCTGTCGTCGCTCCATCACTTTCCAGGTCTTTGTACTCCGCTAGGGATTATTATTTCCCCCCCGCCCCCCGTTTCTCTTTTGTTTTGTTTTTAGGGTAGGTTTTTTTTTTTTTCTTCTTCCGTTTCCTTTTCCGTCGCGTTTCTTTGGTCCTGTGGCCGCTCTTCCCCTCGGCGGTGGGAGGAGGGCGGAGGGCGCACCGTAGCCGGGTGCCGACGGGCCCGGGGCCGACGTGGGGCCGCTCCCCACCGCTCCGTGTCCTTCCCAGGCGGGAGGACGGCCCCGGCCCCGAGCCCCGCTCACTCCGAGGCGGTCGGGCCCGGCGGGGAGCTCAGCGTGGAGGCCCGGTTCGCCCCCCGGGCTCCCGAGCGCCTCATCCTGCGGGCCGGGCGGCGCGGCGCGGCGCGGGGTTTTGCCGCGACCTCGCGGTGGTTTCTGCCGCTCGGCGCCGCCCTGGCGATGCGCCGGCCGTCCCGGCGGTGCGGCCCGAGTCATTTTGCATGATTAATTAGCGAGGAGGGGGGGGGCGGGAAGGAGGGTCGCTCCCTCCCCGCGTTGCCGACGCCTGGGAGGCTCCGCGCGCGGCCGCCAGCCCTATGTAAATGTTCACAAATATGCATGCATGTCTGACCAGCTTGGAACGTGGTCTTGGCTACGTCTAGCCGGCTGTGGGGTGAGGGGGGTGGGGAGAGGGGTTTTTGTGCTCAGCTGATACTGCCATGCACTGTACTGCACATGTCCGCAACGCCACTGCAGGACCGTGAGGCTTTCAGGGCCGTCCCCGCGGCGGCGTGTGCAAGGGGCCGCTCCCCGCGGGGCGGGGCCGGGCGGCGGGGCTGGGCCCCGGCTGCGAAGGGTCGGCGGCCGCGGCGAGGCGCGAGGAGCGGGCCGTGCCTGGCGGGTGCGGGTGGCTTTCGGGCTTTCCCTCGCATCCCTCGCCCTAGGCGCGGAGCGGAGCGCCGATCTCCGGTTGGCCGGGGAGCGCCCGCCGCCGATCGGCGGGAAGCCGCGCGCCCCGCTCTCCACCGATCGGCGAGCGAGCGCCGGTCTCCACCCGGCCGATCGGGCGCGGGGGGCGGCGGGAGGCGCGGCGCCATCGGTCGGCTCCCCTTTTGCCTCCCTTCCTCGGCCGCCGTGCCCGCCGTCGAGGCCCGGGCCGGGCGCTGCGGCTCCGCCGCGCCGCCGGCACCGCTGGGCTCGGTGCCCCCTGGGCAGGACCCCGGCCCTCCCCGTCCCTCGCTCAGTGACAGATAACCAAAGGAGTCCCCGTGCCGCGCGGCGGCCTCGCGCACCCGGAGACGCCCCCCCACGTCCCCTTCCGCCCTCGCGGTGCCCAGGGAGCCAGGAAAGCCTTACGGTCCTTTGACGGCGACTCGAAAGCTCACAGCTCGTGTGCTGCAGAATTTATTCCGATGAGCAGCTACAAGTATCATTTAAGAAGAATTACAAAAAAAAACAAAAAAGAAAAAAAAAAAGAAAAAAAACCAACAAAAAAAACGACCAAAAAAAAAAAAAAAAAAAAAGAAAAAAATGCTAAAAAAAAAAACCACAAAAAAAAAAAAAAACAAAACCAACCAATTATTTAGGGTGTTTGTGATTGCTGACTGCGCTGTAGATACCACTGTTTACCAATGATTTCCTGTGGTGGGATAGTGGACTGTTTACTGTTCTATATACCAGTCCGTGGGCCTCCGGGGCGAGCGCCGCTCCCCGGCAGGTGCCAGGACGTGTGTTCTGTGTTAGAAAGTTTTTATATATATATATATATATATATATATAAATATATATATATAATTTTTTTTGCTCTGTTACTTGCACATTTTACAGTTACCTCATTTTTCCCATGTATGTATTTGAAAAAAGGCTAATATATAGAAAAAAAAAAAAAAGGTTCTTAAAGCTCTAAAAGTGTTTGGTTTTTTTTCCATTCCATTGGAATCATATTGGTTTTGTAGCATTTAACATAACTAGTATGTTGTATTATATATATGTGTATTATACTGATTGAAATTTTTAACAGATTTGTACTTTTTTTAAAATGAAAGTTGCTAGTTCTGCTTGACCAAGTAGTGCAATCATTATTTTTTTTAATGTTGTGGCTGATTTTGAGAGGGATATTCACTAATAAATGTATGATGTATACCAAGGCGCTGCGCCCGGCTGCTGTCGTGGTGTGGGCAGGCAGGGGCTGGGCTGGGCCGCCTGCAGGATCCCCCCTTCTCCAGCACGAGGAAGAAGCTCCGCCTGCTCTGCGGGCAGTTTGGCAGCCCAAGGCCGAAGGCAGAGCTGCTGCTGCTGCCATGGGCCCCACGGGCAGCAAGGGAACGGGCGTTCCTTCAGGAGAAAGAGGAGGAAGGGCTCTCCCTGTTGAAGAGGAACCAGGGTGCGCTCTGCAGCAATGTGAGCAAGGAGAGGCGTCCTCTTCTCCCCTACGTGCTTCATGGAGGCTGCACCAAGTGAAACACCGTGGCCACCCATCCCACAGAGAGCTGGAGGAGGCCCTGCTCCCTCTCCCCGTGGCCAACAGCTCCCCCAGCAGCAAGCCTCCCAGGCAGTAGGCTTACGCCCCTCTCCTCCAGCCCTCTGGGCTGTCCTTATTCCCCTCTACCTCCACCAGGGACACCTGTCCCTGAGCAAACAACAGCTCTCCCTTCCACTCAGCCCAGGACATGGATGCTGCAGCCCAGCAGCAACCCCTACCACGTCCCCCCCCCCAGCTGCACACACTACATTTGTCTTCAGCAGTTCTGCTGGCACATCATAACCAGTGACTGAAACGGTGGCCTCACACCAGGCCAGAAGTTGGGCAAACCCAGTGCTGGGAGCAGCAGCCATAGAGGCCCAGCAGGAGCTCCCTCCACCGCACTCTGTTTCAGCTGGGCAGCACGGCGGTGTGGTGTAAGCAGAAAGCATTGGCACAGACATGCTAGAGGCAGAGTTTATTACACTACGCAGGCTAAGAACCCTGGCAAGGTCCCACACAGGTAAGAATCGAACCAGCTCTTTATCAAAAAGTTAATACTATAGTCAACCCCATTCTCCTTTGGTCATTACAAAGCAAGAGAAATATTAAAAGAAAAGTATTTATACAGAGAGGGAAGCCGAAGAAATTCTGTCCAGCCCTTTCCCAAACCCCACTTCCAGCACATTCAGGTGCCTGGTCTTCTGGCTGGCAGGAGCAGCAGAGTATCAAATTCTCACAAGATATCGGGTTGTTGGGGTTTTATTATTATTGTCATCAATAAAAGCAATAATTACCAAGAGCTGCCATTCCTGTTCCTCCCCTAGGAAGGGAGAGGGGCACCACCACATCCCCTCCCTCTCTGCCCTCCGAGTGTAGGGGATGGCTGTGTACACGGGTGTGTGAGGACGTGCACACACCTCCTCTTGCCAGTGTGCACACACAGCACGGCTGGCACAGGCATTGTGGTCTCTGATCCCTCATTTGTACGCAGTCTTTAAAAAAAAATATTGTATTATAATAATAATATGAATTTCTCTTCCAATTTGTGTCTTCTGGAAAAATGTCAATCGTCCGTGAGGTCCTGCACAAAGAGGACTTCCGTGTGGCTGAGTCCGGCCTCCTGCAGCGTGGGGGGGTTGGGCCACTCCTCTGTAGGGAGGCAGGGCAGGACACGGCGAGGGAAGTTGGCTTCAATCTGGAACTTCTCAGGGCTTTCTTTCAGGGAGAACAGGAAGTCGTGGATTACCTGGGAAAGAAGCACAGAAATAGCTGCCAGCCAGGGAAGCGATGATGCAGCCAGAACGCATCCACGGGATCTCACAGGGGAGGGGGGAAGTTTGGAAATTCACACCATCTGCGTTGTAGAAACAACACAGCCATCATCTGAGCGTGCATGAAATCGGACTTGTCATGGAATACCATCTCTGTCTCTTCCTATACCCCTTATTTAACAGGGAGCAATGAGAGCCTCAGCTTTTCAGAAGAGTATTTTTGTTCCATCTTTTTCCGTAATCTCTCTCTTCCAAATTGAAGAGGTTGGGTCCATGGACACCCTACTTAGCCAGAAACAACTCTAAGCAAAGGTCAATGGAACAAAAGCTTTGTCAAGCCACTTGTGGAACCTCTCAACCCAATCCACAACGAGAAGCCCGTCAGCTCTGCCCCGAGCTCACCGTCAATGACTGTGTGAAGTGGAATCGCCGCTCCACTCTGGAATCGTTAGGCAGCTTGAAAATGATCTTCACGCTCTCTGGGTCATCAGGATGTGGCTCAGGAGGAAGGCATTCTGACTTCCGTTCCTTCTCCTCCTGCAGCGTCTGCAAAGTACAAAGTGAGGAAGGAGCAAAGCAGCACTGGGTGTGCACCAAGCTGACCTTCTTGCTTGTCCCTGGCAGCACAGCTGCTCCAGGAGGCTTGGAGGATACACAAACCCGAAGGCAAGACTAGCAACTCCAGTCTGACAGGAAAGTCCTACTGCAGACACTGCTCCTACACACAGTGAGCATCCAAAAGATGCCAGCCTCTCCAGCAGTCAGTTTGCACTCACCTGTCGCCGTCTCTCCTCTGCCAGCTTTTGCTGCTGCACTTCCTCCTCCTTTTTCTTCTTTCTCTCCCGTTCTTCCTTCTTCTTACGTTCTTTCTCCTGGTCTGCACGCAAGGATGCCAAATAAGCCTCATCTTGCTGCTGCCTCAGTACTTGGGTTTGGTTCCTCTCTTCCCTACAAACATGAGCAGGAAGTGATCAGGACTAGCAGGCCAAATAATGAAGGCAAAGCAGGCTGATAGCACAGCCTCAAATTCTCAGGAGCACATACGTCAGGTAATAATTCATTTAGAGTGCACAGTACCATGAACTCCTAGAAGGCAAGCTGAGTCTCTGTGCTCCCTGGCACACAAACTCCTCCCCTAGGTTGAGTTGAGATTAATTGAGCAAAAGATTTGTCACCCACTGCAGTCTGGCAGAACAGACAGATACCATATAAGCAGTGGCTATAATGTCAGCACCACACTTTACACTCCCCATGGCTTTTTCTCCATCAGATTAACTCCTCGTTCATTCTAGAAGCCAGGAGCATCAACACGTGCTATGGGATCCTCCACAGAGAAGGGATAGACAGGAAACCAGAAGGTGACATCCCACAATGGAGAGCCTGCAAATTATTCCCACAGTTATCAGGGACAGTTATTAGCAAGGCACCAGTGGCAACGCAGCAAATGCTGTTAGAATTCATGACAGCCAGCCTAGGCAGCACCACTCAAAAAGAAGCTGGCTGCAAACACCAGCTCTCCTCCAACTCCTTCCTTCCTGCTTGGCTTCTGCTGACTATTTCCAACCTTTACCTGCAGCTCCAGCACACTGCAGGTTTGCTCCAGTTGCAGAGAACAGTAGAACAGTCAGCCTCACCTCTCAGTAGCGGGCCTGTATGGGCAACACACCAAACTCCCCAGCTACAGGGTCTCCTGAATTTATAGACCAGTGCTGCCACTGGGAAAAGGAGAGATCGTGGGCTGCGTTCCAGAACTGGAGACACTGACCTACGTGTCTACATAGAGCATCTGGAGGGAGGGAGGGGGCAGAAAGCAGAGCCGGCCTCTGTAAGCCTGCATTACTGCAGCTCGGTCCTGTCATACCTTTCCAGGCGTTCAGACACCAGGTATGTCTGGTTGGCATCCATGATGAACATGAGCTGATTAATAAGGTCGTCAGCCTGGATGAGGCCTTCTAGCCGCCCAACTACAGTCATCCTGCGATCTTTCAGCATGATCACAGCCAGGAATGGATACGTGTTCTCCCGCAGAGCCTGGGAAACTGGAAGATAGGCACAATCATCATCCCTTCCAGAAGGATCAGCAAGGAGCACAGCACAAATGTTTTCATCACAGCGGCCTGGGA